ATCTCGTTTCACGCGGTATTTCTCTTGTGTGTCATTCCCAGTATATAGCTAACTGTACTCTTCAAAATGGCGGAGTACAAGCTTCTAAAAGAGAGAGCAGACAAAAAGGGAGAAAAATCGCTTCAATTTATTAGCGAAGTTGCAGAGCAGGTGCAGCTGCAACTGCGACGACGTGAAACCACGCTCCTCCCTCTCATCCTATATAAGTATAGCGCGATCTCCACCCTCTCGTGCCGTATAGGTATACCTAGCGATCGAATAAGTAAAGTTACGCTCCTCCCTCACCTAGTGTACGCGCGTACATAGTATGTACCTACGTACTAAGTATAATAGTCGATTCCATAGTGGAGGAAGAAGTGGAAAGCTCAACATTGGTTGGTCGCAAGCAAGTAGTACGATGCAAAATAAGTGAGACTCGCAACGGGTGTCCTCCTACTGCAGGCGGAGCTAGCTATGCAGATGCTACGGTACACGCATTACGCTCCTTGCGCAATGGTAAGGACTTCGATCCTTTATCCGTGCCCGTGAGCACGCTTCTTGGAACACCACCGCGCGAGCTTATGGTTATGCGCGCGCAAACTTCGGTTATACTCATCGTTACACCACTAGAGACGAATATTCTCGTTCCCGAACTCCAAATCTTGTTTAAATAAAGAAAATATTCATAATGTGTACCAATTCTTATTATTCTACCATATTTTGAATAGGAACATGTTTATTGACACAATAAATGAGTACGAAGATTAATGCAATTGGAGTCGAATTAATTCCTACTGCGAGTGCAAGCTCTAAATCTTTGATTAAATAAAATGAACATTTGTAAAATGTACCAATTATTATTGTATTCCTTCATTTTGAATAAAAATATGTAGAAAGATACAGGGGGTGAATACAGGATCAAGGCAATTGCACCAAACTGGATAGCCACTGTGATTCCAAACTCTAAATCTTTGATTAAGTGAAGAAAACATTAACAAAGTGTACCAATGATTATTATATTCCCTCATTTTGAATAAAATATGTGGATGAACACAGGGGATGAATGCAGAAACAATGCAATTCTACTAAGATTGAATGAATGATCGAAAGATCAACGTAATTGTACCAAGACTGATGGTTATTTTAATTGCAGGCTCCAAATCTTGTTTGAATGAAGAAAATATTTATAATATCGAAGTCTCTTATAGTATTCCCATATTTTATACATAAACATATGTATAAATACAGTAGATGAATCGAGAGATCAATGCAATTTCACCAAGATTGAATGAACGATGAGATATCAATACAATTTCACGAAGATCCATTCTACACGTGACACGTGCCGTTTGAAACTTGATCACTGCTACTTTTGTTCAATCAAACTTAACATGAAATAATTCGCAGCTGTTCTCGCATTTTTTATTTTATATTCCGAAACTTTGAGGCTGATGGAGCAGCCGCGTATACATTTGTGTCTATGTATACACGTGGGGATCCGTATGAAACGCGACACTTTTGACGAGTATTTTTTTCCACGCTTTCGGTTTTATTGTTTTCCGCAAGAGTGATTGGTAATTGGCTGCGCAACCTGTCTCTGCGATGTCTGTAGTGTTGTCGCTTGTTGCCATACGTCACCATACTCTCGCGGCGAACAATAAACGAAACGGGGATCGCTACAGCCCATAAAGACAACCCTCGTTGTATTCTTTGACGATTGAAAAAATGCAATTAAAAATTTTCGAGCGTCGATATAGGTCAGAGTGACGGTCAACAACTCTTTCACTGCCATCTCGTTTCCCTTTTTCTACTTCCCTTTCAAACCATGCGTGCACCCGCGCACGTTTCGTACTAAAAATTTACAAGATTTCCACGGTTCTTACAAAAATTTCGAGACACGGGATGAATTCTGAAATGAACCTACACATTAAAACACGCGGTGGCCAGTTTAGCCTAATTCGTATTCGCGGCACACCACGATTTATTGTACTACGTCACGTACGACGAATTATTTGGTAATCAAATTTTTCCACCCTCCTTCAACCTTCGCGCGCGCACACACGCACGTGTGTGCGAGAGCAGAAAGGGTAGTGCACGCGTCGTTTTACAATGATTTCTCTATTTTACGGTGTACGCGTGAGGAGGCCATTAGGAACCGCGAGGCCACTTTCAATAACCGAGACACGTTCACGAAATTCAATTCAATTTCGAGGAGTATGAATCAAATTAGATGAATTAATAACATCCCCGATGTGTAAGAGTATTTCCATAGTGATTGATATTATAATAAGGCTGCAGATTCTATGCATTTGTATGAAAAAACTTTATATAATATTGCATAACTAATCAAGAGTGAAATGCATATTATAAAGGAAATCCCACAAATTTTTCACATTGTAGAAAAATCTAGTCTCAGAGTAAGAGATAAATACAACATGAATGTATAACAGATACATTTGTAGCTGTACACGTTATAATTATGATTTTTATAGCACTATAAAGATAAGGCAGGCAAAGGCTGTTGAAGTGAAAATATAAACGTATAAACATATTTCCGTATCGGAATATTGAATCGATTATAGCGTAATCACGAAAACAGAGAGACAAAGGGAGTTGAAACGCGAAATGGGAGAGAAAGGGGTTGAAACGCGAAGGGGATGGATAACCGGCGATAGGGAAGGGGTTGATACGGGAGCACGGAAATGCAGATATTTGTCAGGAAATTGATAACTCGAATAAACTCGTCGCAAAACGTTCGAACAGTGGGTCTGGGCAAACGATTTTGCCTCTTTTCGGTTCTAGCACGATCACAACGATATAGCAAGGGACGTGCATATGTATTGCACCCCGTGTACATACATACATATGTATAACGTGAATGATTATATTTATACATATACGTGTCACAAATGTGATAAGTGATACGTGTAAGAGCGAGCAAAAATATTGTTTTACGCGCAAAATGCGTACGCGGATACCCAGATTGCCTTGTATATTTTGAATAACTGTGCACGTATGTTCTTCCCGTTATAAGCATCATCAAAGATAGTTATTACTGTTTCACGTAATGATCGCGTATGAAATTTTATTTCCGTGACCTCCGCGTTGCAATTTTTCAAAATGTATTGCATTATACCTACTGATTACACGCGCATTGCATTGTAACTTGAGCACAATAACTCTGTTTTTCATTCGCGCCGATGACGTTTCAAAATTGTTACCATTCACCAATTTTCACTGCGATTCTGTACAAAGTAATAATGAGAACATGTATTAGCTCCCACAAAAAATGATTTTGTTAGCATATTTATCACATCTGTGAGTATTGAATTAATCATGTTTAAAATAAACTTTGCTTCATCTACATATGTATATGTATAAATGTATCAGATTACAAGAAAGCTATCAATTTTCTTTAAGTAAACGAAAAACGTTTTGCACGATCGTATCATACGTACAATAGGTCGATATTAGAATATTGTTTACATCATCGGAGCTAAACATAGTCTAGTAATGATCGTTAAAATGTCTAATAAAATGCATGCAGAAGAACTGAACATTTTTAGAAACGTTTTTCAAGAAATGAAGAGCATAAAAGTACATTGCTACATTCTACGCAGTTGTGGTTGAATCGTTTTCCTTAAGTAAATTGATGAAACGACTTAAGTACATGAATTTACACTCGTACAGTGTCTGATTTCTGTGATTGAGAACGACCTGGCAAATAGGATCATTCCATTCTTTTTTGGGATCATTGTAAACATTTTTATAAACATACCATTTTTCCATTTAATTTTACACTGATTTACATTGTATTTCGTTACTTGCATAATGTAAAAATGAACAATTTCGGGAGCACAGATTTAAAGTCAGTCAGAATTGGTTTCTGTTGAAGTATAATTGATATACGCGTCGCGTGGGGTTTTCTCTATAAAAGCGGAAGTGCGAGAACGTCACAAAGTGAATATATCGACTAATTAGCAAGGCCAGTGGCGTCACAGTCAAAGGACATCGTTATCTTGGCGTTGGCCATGTGCAAAACATTGCTAAAGCACCAGTTTCACGCATCTCCCAACCCTCTTTCGCCCTTTTTTTTATTTATTTCATTCTCCCTTACCATTTCGTCTCGCAATCGAACGAAAATTAGCCGCGGTAAACGAGTAGAAAGGTATGAAAGAAGAAAAAGTAGAAAGAGTAGAGGAGAAAAATGAAAAAGAATTGGAAACCTCGACTGGCCCTTTTGCTCTTTTTACAATTCTAACAGGAACGACTAATTACGAAATGAAAGCTCTGGACCGAAAAGACGAATCTTCCTCCGCGGTTAAAAAATGAAAAATATTTTAGACAAAATTACATCACATAAAAACACGGTCTTTTTTACGATTTTGCAAATGAATAAAATATAATGTACATTAGTTAAGATAAAACAACAAACAAAAGGACTAACAATGGGTGACCATCGAATCTTAGTAAAGAAAAATGAATGGCTCTATCTTTTGGTAATTAAGACAGTAACCAAAAAAAAATAATCAAACATAAGGGAAGAGCCCGTAGCGTAAGTAGAGAACGCGGCACAGCTGTTACGTGTCCGAGAATTTAAATAAACGACTTATTTAAGCATACAAATCTTGGTGGTTCGCTCCGCAAATTCCAAAGTATATACATACAATAGACAGCTGCTATTCCCGTGCTTGTCAACGGAAAAATCGTGAAATTTTCCGCCTGTTGTTATTAAATTAAGTTCTGTTATTGAATCCGGAATGACGAATAAACGGAGAACACATATTTCACGGTATGCTTGTCTCTTTTCACTTTCAGTGGTTTGACGAGTAAAATTCTTCTGATTTTATATGCAAATTGGAATTTTTCGGATGTTCGTTAAATTTAAGTGCGTCATCATTATATCACGATTCATCATTGAACGCGCAACGTTTATCTCCAAAAACAGATCTCAGATGATTGTGAGAAATCTTTATCGGATCGAGTAAAGCTAAAAACAACGAAAGATGTTAAAAACTCACGTCTATAGGGTCGTCCCTCCTCAGGCGTGGACCTCTCCGTATTTTCCGATCCAGGTGTTTCTCTTTCCTCTTCCTCATTAATTTGCCCCCTCTCCCTCTCGATTATCGGCGAACCACCGTTGGGTGATCCTTGGGGACTTTGAGGCCCCACTTCTGGTCCCATTCCTCCGATATTGCTTCCAGAAACACCTCCGCCGGCAGAGGACAAGGAAGAAGAGGAGAACATACTGGAGATGTTAGAGAATGAGGAAGAGGTTTCTATCTTCAAACACTTTGAAGGAGGTCCGAATGCGGATGGACCCAAAGGACGGAAACTACCAAAAGGTAAGCGATGGTCCAATGGGTGCAAAAATGGAGGAGGTATGTGTAACATATGGTGCAGACCGTAGCTCAACGTTGGAGTAAAGGATTGAAGGTCCTTCGCCTCGGTTACCTGAAATACGAATACATAAATCTCATAAAAATCGATTCAAAGAACAGGATTTAAAGTCGAGTAAGGAAAAGATTTGGAAAAGAAATTCAAGTTAAGAAAGTTACAAGTACTGTAATATATTCATTCGTCGTATGGTCGACTGTAAATAGATATCGAGCAAATCATTGAAATATTAACAGCGAAAATACATTACGTTGATAAAATGAACACTTTTTATTTGCTTGGACACATATCAAATATTTTATTATGAAGAAGCTTAAAATCTATGTTTAATTACGTTCGAAGTTATGAATCTGTATGACAATAGTATATGCCAAATAGAACGACCACGCAAGTATGAATATTGATCTGATAGTGCGTAAGCATTGTTCAAATATTAGCATTCGATTTTCCATTTTCGATTCCCTGTAGTAAGCAGATATGTTTCCGTTTAATTCTATAATGCACGATTCTAAAAATCCGAATAAAATAGTAACATATACAG